CACGCGTGGGCGCGGGCAGCAGGCCAGCAGGGGCAGCGCGCGGGACATGACTTGCCTAGCAAGAAACCAAGTGTGGGAGACCTTTTTGAGCTGAATCTTCTCTAGATTATTCTTCCCTACTTGGAGTGAAAGTCAAGACATTAGGAGATCTAGTAGATTTAGGATTTTATGGTAGTAGGATATTTATTTGCCTTAGGATTTAATATTTTATTGTTTTAATAGTTTCCTAGTAAGATTAGCATTAGATTTATTTTGCAACTATAAATACCCCATGTAGCTCATCATTATTGGATGTCTTGAATTGATTATTGAACTGGTGAGCCAATTGAGAGGGGAACTTATGTTCTTACGTGTGTTTAAACAAGGCCGTTAGTGCGTGTTTACATACAGTGTTGGAGAGAAGGCCATTAGAGCGTCTTGAAGTCACAGTGTCTAGGAGAAGGCCGATAGTGCGTCTGTTAGATACACCTATCGTGGATAAACGAAGGCCCTAGTGCGCGTTTATTCACAATCCATGTATAGAGTAACAACACGGTCCGTCATCATTGGTGCTTTCATTGAGAGGTGCTGATCGTGTTGTTATCTATCTATCTTTTTTCTTTTTTCTTTCGGTTTGCCTTTTGCTGAGGGGCCGAATTTCTCTTTATTTTTTGTTGGGATTCGAATTTTGGTTCGAATTTTCCCTTTTATTTTTCGAATTTAAGTCTTAAAAAAAAAAAAGTGTCATCTTGTTAGTCCTTTGTTTAATTTTTGTTCGGTTATTACCTTTTGTTGAGGGGCCGAATTTCTCTTTGTTTTTTGAAATTTTTTTGGTTTGAATTTTATTTCGAATTCTTAGAGTCATAAAAAAAAAGAGTCATGATGTTGCCTTTAGATGAATTGGATTGGGAGGATCTTGAGTATCTCGAAGGTTCGGAGAGGGAATTAACCCCTTGGGAGCAAGAATATTTGAAGGAGATGTACGAGCAAAAGGAGAAGCTCGAACGACAACTCAAGATCATGGAGGAGGTCATTGAAGGAGAGCCCTTGCTTACGTCCGATCTATCAGGCTATGTTGAAGACAAGGCGGTCGAGTGTGAGGTCGACCAAGTCGAGTGCGAGGAACCGTTGTCCGCCGACGAGTTCACGGACGAGGAGAACCAAGAGAGAATGTCGTACAAGCAGGAGACCGACACCGAGTACACCATGGTGAGTTTAGGTGATTGGAACAAAGCATGTGCGCAAGAACGACACGCGCAACACATCGAGGTCAAGGAGGCGATCTTGGTCGTGGTCGAAGAGAGACGCGACGCGACGCACAAGGAGGACAACACGGATGAAGAGATGTTCGAAGTCGAGGTCTTGGTCGAGGTCGACAATGACCATGAGTGGGATGTGCGCATGGTCGAAGAAAGAGTTCCCGATGTTTGGATGGTCGAGGATGAATCCTTGAGGACAAGGAAAGTCTCGAAGAGGAGGGGAATGATATGGAAGTGGGTTCCGTACCCCTGTGACAAGAAGGGGCGAGAGCCAAGAGGACTCGAGGAGGCTGAAAATAGGGCCAAAACGATGCAAGCATGGCCAAAAAGACGGGTACGAGTGCGTATGCAGACGGGCTTGGATCGAGGAGTGCATGGACGTGATGCACGAGCGCACGAAGCGGTTAATGAGGGTCGCGCATGGAGGTGAGCGAGGGCACGCAAGAAGATGGTCACGAGGCTAGCAACGCTCACACGCAAGAAAGAGTGCATTCAAGAAGGACGCGAACACGCGCATTGGGGTAGACGAGCACGGATGAGGCCACTACTCAAAAGGACGTGCCGTCAATGGTTTCGGGATGCTTATCGAAGAAGTGAAACCT